TTCTGATGTGTTCTTTGATCATGTTGATACCTTGTTGATCAAGTTTCTTAACTAAATTTCGATCATTTTTTCGAATTTCAATGTTTTTAGGTGTGGCGGCAAATACGAAGCTGCTGCTGAAATTAGTCGAAGATCATAGGGACGCGTGTTGGAAGGAGAAAAACGATGGCCGTCGGATGCTAAGGGTGGCCACGATGATGACCATCCTCGACAATATCCGTGGCCGTATCCAAAAATGCCAATCATTGGGCCGCAAGGGAACCACCGGGCCCGATCCAAGCCCAACCGAAAGCCCGGACGAGGAGAAGGCCCGTCTCAAGCGTGAGCTTGCATCCAGCCTGGCCGCCCGGAAAAGCCTCCAGGTGATATATCAGTAATTCCCCTGATATGTGTGTGTAAAACTCTGTTTCCACAACGAAAAAGATTCGATATTTTTTTTTTCCGTTTTCGCCGTTTGTCGAAAATAAAAATCATGTGGACCCCACTGCAGGCGATGTGCTCGAGCCTCGGGAAGGAGAAGGAGATTATGGCGGCCGAGCTCTCGAGGAAGACTCAGGAGCTGACGGGGATGGAGGAGCTGATAGGTGACTTGCGGGCCCAAAACGAGGCCCTGCTCGAGCGGGCCCGGTTTTGTGCTATCGAGCACGGCGAGGGAGAAAAATCTGGAGGAGGCAGAGTAAGGGAGCTAGAGGAGCGTAATCGAGTGCTGTCTGATGAGCTTTTGAAGTCGTTAGACGCGTATCGGACGATGAAGAGGAAGTTTCGGGCGGCGCACGAGGAAAACGAGAGCGTTCGCGCAACCCTAGATGAGATAAGGCGGAAGATTGTGGGGAGCCTTGGGAGGATTAAGGGATTCAAGGAAGGTGATGATGATTCGGAGGTTGATGTTCGGGAGGAGATTTCGGAGTTGGAGGGTATGTTCGAGTGCTTTCGAATGATGGTGGAAAAGCATGAGGTGAAGCAAGGGGATTGCGGCGTAGTGGAGCCGAAGGGCGGGAATATTAGTGCTCGAAGGCCATCGGTTGTGGCGTGACGAGAGTGTCGATCGTATCTTTTCGAACTTATATATACGTGGAGTTAGTTAGTTTTTATGTTTTTGTTTGTCTGACGGTAAAACGAGCGATATGTTCTGGTTTGCTGACTTGTGTGTGGTGTCGAGCAGATATTATTAGTGTGGTTTTTGGGTGTTAAGAGCGATCTAGTTTCTGTCGACTTGTATTGGTTTGTGATGTTTATCCAACTTACACGTACATGGAGTTAGTTTTGTGTTTTCGTTTGTTCGAGTGGGAATGGTAAAATGCGATGTGTTATTATGGTTTGTTCATTGGTATGACTATGGAGTCGATGCTTAACAATTTATGTGTGTGTTTATTGTGTTCAGAAAGTGTTTTACCATGATCATATAGAGAAGAAAGCAAGGATGGCATTAAGCCAAATTGCAGTAGTTTGAAGGTGTAATGAGCATGTGAGGAAGAAAACGAGTAATAGGTAAAGTCGCATTTTCCTTTTTTTTTTTTGTGTGTGTGTGTGTGTGAAAACTGGTATAATCGTGTTTCAATTGACAATAACAATTGGCGTAGGAGTAAAGAGGTAGCAAAAGCGTGCATGCAAAGTTTGACCAATCGGTCAAAGGTGCACCGTTTGTCGGACTCTAGTCTCGATCTAAGATGATTTATAATTTTTATTGTCGGACTATAGTCTCGATCTAAGATGATTTGTAAAAATTTCACTTAATCANACAAAAGAACTTTAAATCCGTAGAAAGGGAATTATATTTCAACTTGACTTGTTGAAAATGAGGCTTATTCTTAAGATAATGTTTATTTCTATTCAAAATGGAGTTTGAGAGGGAGAGACAAGAAATAATATATTGAAAATTGGAGTAGAGACAAAAACGAGTCAGCTGAGAGCTAATAGCAGTATTTGTAACTTACGTGGATCTTTTGAAATATTAAGTTTAGGCACAATAATATTACAAGAATTTGATCTTTTGTAGTACCAGCATGCCAAATGTTTCAGTGTATTTGAAAGGATGTTTAGTAATTTCAAATGTTACATTTTGTGAAAAAAAGAAAAAATATAATAATTTCAAATGCAAATAAAAAGAGATTATGCCTAGTTGATTGACACAGTGAATGAAGGTGTAAATCTCTACAAAGGCATATTTGAGACATCCAATGTATTAATGTAAAATTATTATTTTATTGAAACATCTGATAGTTTGTACATTTGGTTACATTTCATTAGACCATTTTACACCTTATTTTAGAAGTTAGAACAATTATTCAAAACATTGCATTAAAATGAGCATGGTCTATTTATGAATTAAACATATTACTATAAAAATAAATACAAAAATGGTCTTTCGCATTTCGAGTTGATTTTGTTAAGATTTCCAGAGGAAAACACATAATAAACACGTAATTTGAAATAAATAGAAGACCATTCTGCGCATATATAATTGATGACATAATGTTCCACATAATACATACATGACATTATATTGTGATTTTACATGTCTAACATATATTTTAAAATCAACAAATCCTACCTTAAAATAGCATTATTCATACATAACTACACCCTATACAAACAAATAAATAAACAAAAAAGCAGAGTTATATATCTTTATGATGTTAGTCAATTTAATAAACTACAATAACAAGCAACCCAGTATACTTTCATTTGTCTTATATACATGCTTCATTTCACCAACTTTTTTCCAAGACCAGTTCCACAAATATAAGATTCAATGAGAAACATGAACCACATAGTAGTAACATACTAGCAAACTNGAAAAAAAAAAAAAAGATGGAAGACTGAAAACACAAGTACCCTTGAAAATATTCAAACTTAGTTGATGCTTATAATTTACTTATCACAAATTCTCGTGTGACGCTGTCTAATCTTTTTACACAGGTCAATCTGTCGTATTTTTTTTTTTAACAAAAAACACATTATTCATACCGTGGAATGTCTCATACTTTTGATTATGTTGTTTTTTCAGAATATAATACTCAATTTAAAAGGCATGCATATCTATTGAAAAAAAATATGGCCGACTAATGTTAGATTGCCCAACATTAGTGTTTATGTGACAAAACGAATGCGCCTTGTCGTGCTGATCAATCAAAGAGTTCCCATTTGTTTGAACAGATAGATGGTTCGAAGGTCTCCCAATTATCGCTGCTCACAACCGGTTGTACCTTCTGCTTCGCATTCGATACCTTGAGAATGTCAAGCTTCTCCACGCATTTTCTCACCCGTTTGCCCTGCAGTATAGGATCATACCCAGTTCCGTTTGCACAATATTATGGTTCACTAAGTGTGCCAATTTTCGGTTCTTTACATTGTTTCGAATTTTTAAGAGAATCTTGATTATGGGATTATTAATTTAGAATGATTTTCAACAGAAATAATATATGGAAAGATAAAAAACCTGTGAATGCTTCTTTGCACATGCATCTGAAGCTTGATCAGCTGTGATGCTATCCAATTTCACAGCTTGTCTCATTAACATTTCTATCAAAGTTGTGATCTGCAGCTCTGCTACTTTCTTACCACTTGCAATTGATTTCTCTATTACTCCAACCTATTTATTATTAAGTCCCCACATTAAACAACAACAACAACAACAATAATAATAATAATGATACTAATAATAACAATAATAATAATGTATTAGTTATCAGTTCTATTCTAATTTTATGTTTACTTATAAAAGTAGTAAAATTTCAAACTCGTAATCGACCAAGAATGAGTCATCCTTCTGAATCTGATTACGTTGCTGTGGAGTTATTGAATGACACGATTTATATAGTGATCGATACTATTTGTTGCATTGATAAACCCATTTGATAGTTATTTTATTTCCTATGATTGAGTATTGAAGAAAAAAAAAAAACATTTTTTTTTGTTACTTTGCAATGGAGAAAAAATTATCAAAAAGATACAATAGTCATCAATTTTTAAGTATCGTCTGATTAGTGATTATTGATGTAAAATTCTAAAATATAAAAAACAATTAATGTTACCTATACTTATATAAAAAGGGATTATATTTACTACAAATAGTATCCAGAAAAGTCAACTGCAATTAAAGTTATTACTATTTCCAGCATGTATTTTATTTAATTATTTTATATTGAAATTAATACTATGCGATTCAATTAATGCTATTACTATTCTCATACAATCAGTTTTCCTGCGAAAAAATCCCACAAAATCGGCTTTAATTTTTTGTATATTTGAAATTTCCTTCTTATCTTCTATATGTTTTATCCCATAAAATCCGTTTAGTCAACAAAATCCCATAAAATCGTTTTAAATTTTTTGTAGATTGAAATCGAAAGTTCCTTCTTATCAGTTTAGCAAAAATTTTATTATTTATGTATTGAAATTCTGTAATCCGATTTTAGATTGTATCATTAAGAATATATTATAGTTATATTATCAAATCATAAAAAGATAGAAAATTCATATAATTTTATAACAATTTTATAACAATTTTATAAAAAAATAATTCATATAATTTTATAACAATTTTGCTACACTATTTAACAGTATTCTTTTTTATTATATAATAAAATAATAATTAAATATTATATAGTGAACAACAATAAGTAAAACTGTTACTTTCTCTTATATCCAGGGATAAATTTATATGTAAAATTAAATTTTTATTAGTATAAATGTTTTAGTGAGATAATTTTAATTATTTTACAAGCTAGCCCTAACATGCTCATATTTAATGTTCGGGCTAAAAAAAAGCAACGCTGGTTAAAAGATGTGGAAAAAAACTTATAATAACACTATTGTTTTTTAGGTTTAACGTTGATTAAAAGAGCTAGAAAATAGATAATAACCCTATTATTTTTTAGACTTAAACTGACAAGGGTGTGAAAATAATTCATTTAATATTTTTGTCCCGTGCATCGCACGGGGTACGTACTAGTTAGTTTGGTACTACACCTATATATTAATTACTAGTAACAAATGACCATCTAAAAGTTTCTGAACACATATAGCATTATCCCATTGGCTGGCTGCCAGCTAAGTACGTACTAACTGCATTCATTTCTTCCTCTTATTAATAAATAGGATAAATAAATCATTTTGAAAACATTAAATTGCTTGTAACTTTTAAAGTCATTAAATAATTTGAAATAATTGGGACATGAAATTAGTTCACATTTTACTTTTCTTGGAACAAAACAATGTTCTGAACTAATTATGCACAAGTTTGGATCGAATTTGCAACTCGCCAATACCAATTCTACAAATTTTCTCTAATTCAACCATTACTAATTTCCACTTTTTTAATTTTTTTTATGAAAATATAATAAAAGAAAATACTTCTCCTTCTCATCATTTCTAATTCATAAGTCATAACTAACCCATATCAAAAGTCCATGCAATGCACGCATTTACCGCCATTTATCACTTTTCACAGTCTAACTAACATTATTTACGCAGCTTAAAAGGAATTTTAATTAATTAACTAATTAACTAATATTCCACATCATCAGTTTTCTAGACTAACCTGCTCTGCCAGCCTGTCCACCTCCGCAGCCACGCCGTCGATCAGGCAATGGACGGCCTGGATCTTCGCATTTCGCCGGATCTCGACCATCCGCCGCTCCCTGCTCGCCGGATCCTCCACCAGCACCACTTTCGACTTGTCCTTCACACCGCAAAAATCCAGATACTCGCCGTTCTCCCTCTCCTTTCCCCGGAAAATCAGCCGCTGCTCGCGCGGCTCCAGCCCGGTCTCCACCGCCAGGAGCTTCTTCAATTCGCCTGCAAATACATCCAATCGGCTCAGCCACCAATCATTTGCGGCGGCGATTGGCCGATTTCGTTCACCGGAATTTTAGGAAACATTACCGAAAGTTGAGAGCGAGCTTGCCGAGATCTGGTACCGCACGGCACCGTGGGCGACGCGGAGGCGGAGATTGGGCGGCGGCGAGTCGTTCGCGGAGGCCTCGCCGCGCTTCTGCACCAGCATCCCGCCGGGCCTCATCTCCCACGCCGCGCCGTCGTCCTTAGCGGAGGAGGACGAAGAGGACGTCGTCGTTTCAGCACCTTCGTTGCTCCGCCGGCTGTTGCGGACGAAGTTCAATCCGCGTCGCATCATCTTCGCTCGCTGGCCGGCGGCAGTTAACTCCGGCTAACGAGTTTTATTATTATTATTAAATTTAGCGGGTTGAGGAGTACATTGCCATGGCTGCCATTGGAGGGAGTAAATGCAAATGGTGAAAGGGATTTGAAGTGGTAGAGGTTCAATTAGTTGCCGACAATGGGAAAATATCCAACTGAAGGAATTATTTTGGGTGTTTGTTGGGTTGCTTTTTGGTTGAGATAGGGCTTTGGGTTGGGCCAATTGGTGGGCTATAATTGCAGAATATTAGTGTAGGCCCAAACTTTTTAGGTCAGTGGATAGTGAACACTTTTTATTTGGTGGTTTAGGAATGGAGGTTGGGTTCAATGTCATTTCACATAGGCTATGTTTGGTAAAATTAACTGATAAGTTAGTTGATAGCTGATAAGCTAACTTATAGCTTATATGTAATTTTTGAGCTTATAGTTTAGAGGGTATGACTTATAGTTGAGAAGCTAGCTTATATGATAAAAGTGTTTAGTAAAATTAGCTGATAAGCTAGCTGAACAAAAAATTCAACTAGCTTATTTGAAAAGCTACCTAAAGTAGCTTATGAGATAAGCTCGAGTTTTTTTAAAAAGCTCGTCCTACCAAAAAAGACTTATTTGAATACAGGAAGCTTATAAGCTAACTAAATAAGCTATAAGCTAGCTTATTTGACTTACCAAACATAGCCGTGTGTGGCTTTAAACAAAACAAGTTGATTGTGAGTTCGGCTCGACTATACTTCTTGAGTTCTACTTGACTAATTTGATAAACGAGCCCAAACTCGAGCTCGAGTTCTAGGTCAACCAATATTTTAGGTGAACCAATATTTAAACAAGTGGGCCAACCCGCCCCGGCTCGTATACAACCTTATCCCATTCCTGAAATTTATCTTCATGATAAATCAAAAATGTTAATACTTTGGCATGTCCGTCATCTGTGTAAAAACACAGTCGATCCTCGACTATGGCTTCTGTGTATTGGCTCTACCAAGGTTTCACGCTTTCACACTTCTACTGTTTATCGCACTAATTTATGAGCCCTTTACTCGTTTCTTCACATTTTAGTTTCAATTTCTGCAGATGGTGGATTGAGAAGTATGGCGCCGGTTGATGGGATTATTACCAACAAGTTCTTCGCCAGCAATTTGAAAGTTAGTTCTCTTGAATTTTTTCTCCTCTTAGCAATTTTTTTGAGTTTATTGGCTAATATTCTCTGACGTTAATGTTGGGAAAATCTTAATTGTTTGCCTAATTCGAGAAATGCTTGTGTGAGCTATTCAAATTCTAATTCTATAATTGCTTGTTTTGAGCTTGTTTTAGAGAATACACTGGTTGCGCTTAGTGAAATTTGGTTTGTTTGCTCATGGGCAGGCTTGTTATTGAGTTAGCTCTTAATATATACCTGATACATTTGTACATATGCCGGAAAAATTGTATCTTTTCTTGAAAACAAAAGGGAAAAAAGGAAAAACAAGCAATTTTCGTCGTGTCCTGAATTTTCGTTATCTTGTGCTGGTCAGATATACAAATCCGAGCTTCCGACCAGGCGCCCTCTAAAAAAGCATCATTTTCTTCCCTGAAAAATTGTATNGAAAAAAAAAAAAAAAAAAAAAATAAATTCATCATCACTTTAAAAGTTAAATCCCATCTTGTCGTGTCCTGAATTTTCGTATCTTGTACTGGTCAGATATACAAATCCGAGTTTCCGACCAGAAACCCGCTAAAAAAGCATCGTTTACTTCCCTGCATAAAGTGCAAAAAAACCGATGAGCCCAATTTCATTGAAGTCTCAGTCGAGCGTTATCCATACGAAAGCTACATGGACTCGACATCCGGGCAGCTCGAGCCTGCCACTGGGGCTCGTGCGAGTATCCCATCCGAAGAGTATTGGCCAGAAGGGACAGCTAATCAGGTTCGTGCTGCTCGAGCTCCTGAGCCGACAGGTGTCTCGACTGGGAAGCCATCGTTTGGAAAAAATCCGGGAAGCAGACGAAAAAAGTACAAGTCCACAGCTTCTTCTGCTTCTTCTGGATCTTCGGAAGTGATTGTGAGTGATCCAGTTGAAATTGAGTCCTCTGAGGACTCATCAGACGAAGCTAAAGAGACTTTATCAGAAAATTTCGTTGTTTATGAAACTGAGCCTGAGGAGGAATTGACCGGATATGACCTGGACAAGAAAATCGGGAGGCCTCATCCATTTATTGATCCGAAAGATAGGAGGCCGATTGAAGATACTCTCGACAGCGAGGAGCTGTGGTGGAACTGGAGAAAGCCTAAGAATGAAAAATGGTCGAGATGGCAAAGAAGGAGGCCTGATGTCGAGACGGTTAGAAATTACTCGATAATATAAATAAATGATGATGATTTGCAATAATATAAATAAATGATGATGATTTGCAAAATCGAGTAAAAAAAGAAAGAAAGAAAGAAACGGTCTCTTGCTTAGAATCGAATGAACATCTATATTATTGAAGTTAGAAAAGATAATTTGTGTTCTAATGTGTGTGATGCAGGTTTTCCTCAAAGCTATGGCGGAGAAAGGGCAGATAAAGCTCTATGGAGATGAACCAACACTTACTGAATGCGCGCTTTATAGAGCAAGAAGGCATTTATATAAGGAAGAGAGGTCTCTTTATTTCAATTCTATTCTGCAATCTTTCTATTCTCTTCTTTGAGATGTTAATTAGATTACTTTTTATGACTTAGATGGTCTGAAACTTTCATGAGTTTTGTTTAATCTTTTGGAAAATGGTTTTCATCGCCGGTTGAGGATGCTAGCAAATCCTATAGTAAATCACTAATCACCGAGTTGCTTGATTAACCTTTAGTTATTTGGAACACAAGTTTCATAAAATCCTTCTATATTCTTTTGTTTACTCCCACCAAACGAAACCCCATTTCATTTTTATTTTTATTTTTGAATTTTGTGACACTACGTAATTGGTCCATCTTATTTATTTAGGCTTCAAGAGGAACGAGATCGACTGGAAGAGGTCGGTCCTTTGGCATACTATTCCGAATGGGTCAAAGCATGGACAAAGGACACTTCACGCGAAGCGATTCAAAAGCATTTTGAGGAAACCGGTGAGGATGAAAACACCCAACTAATCGAGATGTTTACGCATCAAACGGACAGAGAATATCGTATAATGATGGGCACCGATATCCGAATCAAACGTGATCCACTTGCAATGAGAATGCGCGAGGATCAGATAAAGGAAAGTATGTCATAAAGTGATGTGACTGAAACTTATATTTTAAAGAGAGATAATTTATTTTTAAGTGGAAGGTGAAAGCAGTTTGAGCTCTAAAGTCGGTAATATTTTGGCAAGATGAAACTGAATGTTGAATTAAGAAACGAGAGTATTTAGTAATTTCTTTTTTCTTTTTTCTTCCTTTATTATATTTCCTTCTCTGATTTTCTTGTCTTGCTCGCTGATTTGCTCGATTTTTTCTCAGTTTGGGGTGGTGATCCTGTTTACCCAACTATAAACTATATTCAAGACCCAGATGAGGTGATTGATTACAGGGGTCCCGATTTTCATGAACCAACTCCAAACATGCTCGATTATCTTAAGGAGGTTTGGAAGATCTTGCATCTATTCATTCAACTCATGTGTTTTCTTGTTTAGATCTACATTCTCTTTTCTTCTGTTTTTCTCTAGCTTGACTATTTTTTTTCTCTATTTTAACTTATATATAGCTACCGTTTGCTTTGTCTCGTTTTTCTTTTATTTTTATTTATTTATTTTATCAGTATGGCAAGATAATCACCAGAGAGGAGTTGAACGGGATTCAGGCGAAAGAGAGGAGGACCGTAGAAGTTAAGGTAAGGGTGCAGCAAAATAGTACTCTTGTAATATTATGGTAACTGTGCATTAATAGCGAATCGAAATCTATAATAGACACGATTTTTTTTTTACCCCTTCAATTTTTAAGTATTTCCAATTTATGGGCCATTATTATAATTATTTCTCATTTCTTCCACCAGACAACAACAGATATGGATGATGCTATGGCAAAAGCTGTCGACATTGGCGAAAATGAAGTGAGTATATAGTTTGATTGGTTAGTTCCTTTTAGTATAGACCAAACGTAAGTCGGTTTATCATGCCGCGATTTTTGTTGTTATAGGATGAAGAGGAGGACAGTGAAGATGAGAACGCTGGTGAAGAGAAGGGTGAGAAAATCACTCGCAATTGGAGTATTTTAAAGAGTAATCCTGATCCGAACAAATCAAAGGTGATTCAACTTTTATTGAACATTTTTAACTTTTTCCAAAATAATATTAAAAAAAATTATGCATCGAGTTGCGTGACACATAGGAAATGTGATTGACGGGCTTATTAATCGCAGGTAAAACCGAAAAAGGGCATGTCCCTAGACGAAGCGCTAGATGATTCCGAGAATTTAACCGACTTCCTTCTTGATTTCGAAGAAGAAGAATGATATTTGCATCTGGCTTCCATGAGCATTTTTCTTTATTATGCATGGACTTGAAATGTGTTATATTTTGTATGTCGAAGGATAATCTTTTGGTCGAAAAATGTGGTTTTCCGGTGGGAAGCCGATTGTTCGTCATATTTGAATGGTTTTTTTAGGATGTAGAATAGCTAACTAAGCCAAATAGTGTATTGTTTGTTGTAATATAAGGTGCGCATACACCTCGTGAGAATATTTTAATGTATGTGAATGACTATTTTGCCCCTGATGTAATTGTATTATTACGATTGTACCATCAGAAGTTTTCCTATAAATAGGGGCTTCAGTTATAATGAAAAATACACCGAAAAAGTTTACAGTTTCTCTATTCTCTATAGTCTCAATTCTCTCCAGTTTTATAATGCGTTATCAGCACGAGCGCTCTACCTGGTCAGAAAGGTAAGAATATAACAATATATATGTGTATATTTTACTAATTTACACATTACCATTATTCTTGACAAGTTAGGCTCTGCCACAGTCAAGGATATGCGGTATGAATATACTAAATATGACATTATTTAAACACTACCATTATTATTAACAAGTCAGGCTATGCCATAGTCAATAATATGTGGTAAGATGATTTGCTTATGAATTACCACTAATTATGATAAATAACTTCAAGTTTTATATAAATAACATTATTACTTATACTTAACACCCACAAATTGGTTTATCCAGTAATGTGGCGTGAAATTTATAACTACTTATTCTTGTACTCACCGAAAGGTTTATCGAGTAGTGTAGAGTGACATTTTTATTTGTTTTGCTACTTATATTCATTAAATTGTTTACATAGTGGCTCGGAAAATTATTAAGGTAATATACATGAGTAATTAGAATTTTATAATCATGAGTTGATTAACTAATAAATATTATATCATTAATTTGTTTCCAACGGCTACTTAACGGCTATATTGCAACGGTTATTTTATCAATCTATATATATAACACTATATTTCATAAATTAACACTCATTCCAAATACTAATATATATTCTCCTCAAACGAAAAAAAAAATAAAAAATGTTTCATCTACTATTTATAATTACCATTATTGTTTATTATATACGCTTTGGGAATTTTCACAATGATGTATCATACTCCTGAATTTATATTTTATGTATTAGGTCTTTGTATAATGAGTTTATTATTTACTCTTCTGTACGTTTTGGAGAATTAATGATTGTATATGTAATTTTTTCCGAATCTAAGCATTGGTGTTTTATTTTATAGTTATCATGGCAAATCTGGTCAAACTCGAATTTGAAGCTCTTGATATATCTGGAAAAAATTATATTTCATGGACATTGGATGCCGAAATTCATTTGGCTGCAAGGGGGTTGGGAGAAACAATAATCTCCCCAAATAATTCATCAATACAAGATAAAGCTAAAGCAATGATATTTCTGAGACATCATTTGAATGAGGCATTTGAAAATGAATATTTAACTGTGAAAGATCCTGCAGATCTCTGGAAAGCCTTGAAAGAAAGGTATGATCACCAGAAAACGGTGATTCTCCCCCGGGCTCGTTATGATTGGATGCACTTACGCTTCCAAGATTTCAAAACTGTAAACGAGTACAATTCAGCAATGTTCCGCATTTGCTCGGTATTGAAATTATGCGGGGAAAACATAACTGATTACGATATGCTGAAAAAAACGTTGTCCACATTCCACGCTTCAAATGTACTTTTGCAGCAACAATACAGAGCAAAAGGCTTTGTGAAATATTCTGAATTGATTTCTTGCTTGTTGCTAGCTGAACAAAATAATGAGTTGTTGGGAATCTAGACCTACAGGATCTACTGCGGTCCCTGAAATAAATACTGTAATATCTAGACAGGGAACTGAAAATAAAAACAGCCAAAATCATGTGCGTGGATATACCTCAGGGCGTGGCTGTGGTCGTGGACGTGGCCGTGGATATGGTCCGGATCGCTAAACCGACCGAGGCCACAAATTTCACCGAGGGTATAACTCGGGCCGAGGATACAATCGTGGACGAGGCCGCAACTATGTCCAAAATTATGAAAGGGGGAGAAATTTCCAGCCAAAATTTGAAGAGAACAATGTGACGGAGAATAATAATGAAAATGCATGTTATCGATGTGGAAGGAAGGGACATTGGGCACGAAATTGTCGTGCTCCGAGACACGTTGTTGATAATTATAACGATTCTCATAAATCAAAAGATAAAAATATAGAAACCAATTTTATGGTTGGGGAATCTTCTGAAAATGATGCAACACGTGTGGATGATGACTATGGCATCGATGACATATTGAAACTGGATTTTGCCGATGCAGTGTTTGAAGACAGAGATGGAAATGACCAGGAGAATAACTGATGATCAAGTTTTTTTGCTTTCTAAGTTTGTTGTATTTGTGTGTGGACTTCTTTTTATCTGTATTTCGAATTTAATCAATAAAAAAATATTGTTTTCTTTTAGATCATGGATAGGTCTCGAATCCAAAATGGAGATATATGTATTGCAGATTGTGCCACTACTCATACTATACTCAAGGACAGAAAATATTTCGTCAACTTGATATTAAATAAAGCAACAGTAAACACCATATCCGGAAGCGCAATGATAATTGAGGGTTCTGGCAAGGCCATATTTTTTATGATGGGAGGTACCAAATTTACAGTAAATGATGCATTATTCTCCCCAAAATCAACAAGAAACTTGTTGAGTTTTAAAGATATCCGAATGAACGGATACCACGTTGAAACAATGAATAAAGGGGGAGTTGAATATCTTTGCATTAACTCAAACAATGCGGGAAATAAATGTGTTTTGAAGAGGTTACCCGCTCTATCCTCGGGTTTATATTACACCCAGATTAATATGATCGAGGCTTATGCTGCAACAAATTCAAAGATGAATAAAATGTTTAAACTTTGGCATGATCGACTTGATCACCCTGGTTCGATAATGATGCAAAGAATTATTGAAAATTCTAGTGGGCATCCATTAAAAAATCAGAGGATATTGCAAACACATGAATTGAAATGTGCCTCATGCTCTCAAGGAAAATTGATAATGAGACCATCACATACTAAAGTCGGACATGAATCACCATTATTTTTGGAAAGGATTCATGGTGATATATGTGGACCTATTCATCCACCTTGTGGTTCATTCAGATATTTTATGGTGTTAATTGATGCCTCTAGTAGATGGTCTCACGTGAGTTTGTTATCCACTAGAAATGTGGCATTTGCTAAATTTCTTGCCCAACTTATTAAATTAAGGGCTCAATTCCCAGATTATACTATCAAAAGAGTCAGACTTGACAACGCTGGAGAGTTTACATCTCAAGCATTTAATGATTATTGTATGGCAGTGGAAATTGATGTTGAACATCCTGTGGCACATGTTCACACTCAAAATGGTCTTGCAGAATCATTGATTAAACGACTGCAGCTTATAGCTAGACCATTGATAATGAGGACAAAACTCCCCACTTCAGTATGGGGACATGCTATTCTGTATGCAAATGATCTAATTCGAATAAGACCAAATGCACACCATACATACTCGCCATTACAGTTGGCATATGGTCGAGAACCAAATATTACACATATAAGAGTTTTTGGTTGTGAAGTGTATGTACCAATTGCTCCGCCCCAACGTACAAAAATGGAGCCTCAAAGAAGGTTGTGAATATATGTTGGATATGATTCTCCATCAATAATCAAATATCTTGAGCAAAAAACGGGTGATGTTTTTACAACTCGGTTTGATGATTGTCATTTTAATGAAGAAATTGTTTCTCCCTTTAGGTGGGAATGAAAAGTTAATTGAGAGAAATATTGAATGACAAACATCATCGCTATCATATCTTGATCCTCCCACCAAACAAAGAGAGCAAGAAGTTCAAAAGATCATACATCTGCAGAATATTGCAAATCAATTGCCTGATGCATTTACGGATTTAAAAAGGGTAACCAAATCACATGTGGCAGCCGTAAATGCTCCTGCTCGAATTGAAATTCCAAAAGTAATGACAAATGACGATATGCCAAATGAGTTAAAAACACGCTTAAAACGAGGAAGACCATTTGGGTCTAAAGATAAGAATCCTCAAAAGAAAAGAGAAATTCATGACTCGATTTTGAAAAAGAATCAAGATGATGGAAAAATTTCGGGACGAAATAAAAATATTGAAATCTCCATCAATTACGTGAACAATGGGAATCTTTGGAAGCGTGACGAGGTCATAAATATTGATGATGCATTCGCATATATGGTATCACAAGAAATTGACAAAGAGGTTGAGGATCCTGAACCAAAATCTATGATTGAATGCCAGAAAAGACATGATTGGGACAAGTGGAAAGGTGCTATTCAAGCCGAGTTAGATTCACTTAATAAACGAAAGGTTTTTGGACCTATTACCATTATACCAAAAGACATAAAACCTATTGGATACAGATGAGTTTTTGTCAGAAAAAGAAATGAAAAAAATGAGATCACAAGATATAAAGCTCGCCTTGTAGCACAGGGATTCTCCCAGAGGCCTGGGATCGATTATGATGAAACATATTCCCCTGTTATGGATGCAATTACTTTCAGATACTTGATCAGTTTAGCCATCCATGAAAACCTTGAGATGCGTCTCATGGATGTTGTGACTGCTTACTTATATGGATCGCTGGACGCTGACATTTAAATGAAAATTCCAGAAGGGATTAAAATACCCGAAGCACTAAAGTCCAAACATAAAGAGTTATGTGCGATAAAATTGCAAAGATCATTGTATGGCTTGAAACAATCCGGGCGTATGTGGTATAATTGTTTGAGTGAACAATTACTAAAACGAGGATACATAAATAATCAAATACGCCCGTGTGTCTTTGTAAAAAGATCACAAGATGGAGTTGTGATAATTGTTGTCTATGTCGATGATCTTAATATTATTGGGACTCCAAATGAAATCCAAGAAGCAGTCACATTACTGAAAGGCGAATTTGAAATGAAAGATCTCGGACAAACCAAATATTGTCTCGGCTTGCAAATAGAACGAGTCCAAAATGAAATATTTGTCCATCAATCTAATTACACTAAAAGAATATTGAAACGATTCAATATGGACAACGCTAATCCTCTTTGTACCCCAATGGTCAATCGAACGTTAGATGTTGAAAAGGATCCATTTCGACCTTGTGAAAAGGATGAAGAATTGCTTGGTCCTGAAATACCATATATGAGTGCAATAGGAGCTCTTATGTATCTTGCAAATTGCACCAGACCAGATATATCTTTTGCTACCAACTTGTTAGCAAGATATAACTCGTCACCTACGAGGAGACACTGGAATGGAATCAAGCACATATTCTGTTATCTCCAAGGGACAATCGATTTGGATTGTTTTACTCAAATGATAAAAAACATGAAATGATCGGTTTTGCAGATGCAGGATATCTATCAGACCCCCATAAAGCGAGATCTCAAACTGGCTACGTTTTCACAATTGGTGGAACTGCGTTTTCTTGGCGTTCCCAGAAACAAACATTAGTCGCGACATCTTCAAACCATGCTGAGATTATTGCACTTCATGAAGCAACTAGGGAAAGCATCTGGCTCAGAAACATGACTCAACATGTTCAACAAGCCAGTGGACTATCGAATAATACTGACCCGACGGTGATATTCGAAGACAATGCAGCACGTGTCGCTCAAACCAAAGAGGGATACATTAAGAGTGACAGAACTAAACATATCCCGCCAAAGTTCCTCTCATATGCTCAAGAGCTTGAAAGAAACAAACAAATCAAAGTTCAATACATTCGATCAAGCGATAATGCAGCAGATTTATTTACGAAAGCGCTTCCGACTACAATGTTTCGAAAGCATGTGCACAATATTGGAATGAGACATCTTCGGGATTTGCATAGATAATAACTCGAGGGGGAGTATGTGCGGCTGTACTCTTTTTTCCTTATCTCGGTTTTTTCCCACAGGGTTTTTCCAGATAAGGTTTTTAACGAGGCAGCATAAACGCACAGTTAATAGTAGTAATTCCAAGAGGGAGTGTTATAAACGAGTGGATATTCCACTAAAAATAGTCATTCAAGGGGGAGTGTTGTAATATAAGGTGCGCATGTACTTCGTGAGAATATTTTAATGTATGTGAATGACTATTTTGTCCCTGATGTAATTATATTATTACGATTGTACCATCAGAAGTTTTCCTATAAATAAGGGTTTCAGTTATAATGAAAAATACACCGAAAAGAATACAGTTTCTCAATTCTCTATAGTCTCAATTCTCTCCAGTTTTATAACATTGTTTGCATTATTATTATTATTATTATTATTATTATAATAATAATAATAATAATAATTTGTTTTTATTATAATAATTGTTTATTTTTTTTAAATAATTGGTTTGGTTAAAGCATTAAATTTTGCAGAAACTGAGAAGGAACCAAACCGTGTTATAGCATTCGGTTAATTCGGTTTCTTGGGTAATCTTAATGCGAAACCTATGTATAATGATGCTCAGTTGCTCACTCGTGATTTCACTTAACACTTACATTATATAAAAAAAGAAAAAAAACATAAAGGTGCATCACTATTTAATTTATTTATTTGTTGTTAATATTATTTTAAAGCGTTTTTCTTCAACCCTTGAAAATGCAAATTTATCCATGTCCTCTTAATTGGACTCAATTTATAACATCTCTTGGGTTATTAGTTAATTTTAAATTCTTCCAAATCAGAAGTTAAATAGAAAATTTCAAACCTGTTGCTTCACAAATAATAAAAAAAAATGGGAAAATTGAACAAGTATTTTTAATTTTGATTCGTATACAACTCATATTTATGCTTGGATATGAAAGAAGAAAGAAAAGATGAAAATGAAAAAATTAAACGAAAAGGAAATGAAAAAAAGGAAAAGAGATTGAACATAATCTACCTATAATTAAAGACACAGAATGGTCATTTATTAAAAATTAATTATGATTAATTGATTATGGCCTTTAAAAACGATAATAACAACAAAATTCGATAAATATGGAATAAACTATCCACTATTATAAAAGATCAATAGCCAATAAATATTTTAAAAGAGACATAGATGGTCATTTTATTGTGTTTAAACTGTTGAAAGCTATCCAGCTTAATGGGTTGGGCCCTTAGTTGGAGCCCAATTTTCCTGCTGCACTGTGAAGCCCAGATGATAATCGACCTTCTGGGCCTGCTCCCCTCGATACGACGTCGTAATAATGTTCACCTCCACAAATATCCACAAAAATCGGCCTTGATTTTCGACTGTTCACTTGTGACGGTTGATTTTGTACAGTTTTACAGAGTAAATATACCTCAATTTCATCTACATTGTCCGTTGTTTTAACAGTTTGTTGAAAATTCTGAGTGAAATAGCGGTACCTGTTTAGCTGATATTGATGATGGCTCGTTAATCGTGATTGTTCATTTCTCAAATAATCGATCTTTAGGTCGAATTTTTTCGCTTTTACGTTGATTTTAGTTATCTGGATGTTTCATAGTGTCAAATCAGTCAGCCTGATTTGGAGTAGGAACTTCAATGGCGGCAGGATTAGAGCTCATATGGCTCACATTAGGTACAAAAACAAGGAACACTGTAAGATTTTGTGCAGCATATGTTAGTGCTAGTTTCATTAAACTCGAGATCTGCTAACTTTAGATACATTATGTTCAAGTTTCCACTGTCTGATCCAAATTTTTGCACACTGCAAGATTTTGAATTTGAACCCGAAGGTCGAAACTTGCGTGCCCTTTTAGATAAAAAAACCCCGGAAAAAGTGAGTCTTTATTCGTGATGGTTAATTTTGTACAGTTTTACGGACTAAATATACCTCAATTTTGTCAACATTACTCTTTATTTCAACAGTTGTTGAAAAATTATGAGAGAGATTGTGTGGTCTGTCATTTGTGTTTAGCTGATGGTGATGATTCATCGTTAACCGTTATTGTTCATCTCTCAAATAATCAATCTTTAGGTCGAATTTGTGCTTTTACGTTGACTTTATTTATCTGAGTTTTGCATACAGTGACATATCAGTAAGTTTGATTTGGAGTAGAGTTCATATGGCTCACATTAGGTACAAAAACAAGAAAAAAGATTATAAGATTTATGCAGCATATGTTACAGTCTTACAGAGTAGTGTAGTGCTAGTTTCATTAAACTCGAAATCTGCCAACTTTATAGATACTTCTGTTCAAGTTTCCACTGTGATTCAAATCTTTGCTCACTGCAAGATTTGAATTTGAACCCGAAACTTGCGAGCCCTTTTGGATAAAACCCGGAAAAAAGTGAGTCTTTATTCGTGAAAAACGGATAAAGACCTCTGAACCTCCTTGAGAAGCTGATTAGGCTTTGTAGTATCCAGAGATGAATTCGAGATGGCAAGGGGCAGAATATAGCTCCCGCCTTCTTTTTCCTCCTCGTGTATCGTGTCAAGCATTGTCCTTGTTCGGCGCCTCATAACACTTACGAACTGAGGAGGTGCAACTTCAGTTATAAATCTCGCCAGACGAGCAGTTGCCATTTTTCCTTTTTAGATTTTTTTTTTCTTTCAAGTGTTTGAGATGTGTTAAGAGTGTATAAAATTTGCTTTAGTAGAGTTCTTTTCGGAAGGGAAGGAATTTATAGCTCTGGCCTTGGACATTTGGATGAGGTTAGCTGATTAGTTTTTAAAGAACTTTATTGAGTCATTAGTCGTTGTCCGAAGCCTTTAAAACCATTTTTAGCTTTTTGTGCCGTTTATTTGCTTTTCGGATTTATTGTTCGATAATGACGTTTGGTTTGTTTATCAGATTGGGACCATGTTGGAAGCTAGGTTATCCGTGTGAGGGAATTGGGCCGGCTAAGCCATTAAAGGACAACATTTTCGTTAGCATCGAAAAATTTGATCTTGTGCCTTTTTATCCCTTCAATTCATATTCGAGCATGGAGGTGAAATGCCCACCTGTCAAGTTGAGGCTCGTGAACTTTCCGAGTGGCATTCAAGTTTCAGGGGACCATTGGGGAAGGTGGGTTTTATTTACTACCTTTTTGTTTGGATCGAAACTTTGGATTCCTGATTTTTTCAAGGCTGCATAAAATTATTCGTGTAAAATGCTTGCTGTGTGTTGTTAAGTGATGAAAGTGTACTATCAGGTTAGAGTTAAAAAGTTAAAAAGGATATCTGGGCTTGGCTATGGAAAAAGTCTGCATGGTTTTGTAGTCTTGTGTTTGTGAAAATCAAGAAAATGGCTTAAGAAAAATGAAGAAAAGAGAAGCAAAATAAAAGTAAGGCACGTAATAGTTACATTACGAAATTGTCCTGTAAAATATTCACGGTTAACAGCAAACCCTCTAATGTAATGACTTTGACTTTTATATAGCGGTATTTCAAATATACAAGCATTCAACGAACAATACTATTGTTTGGAACTCTTAAGACTCCAGAAAAAAATGACAATATATTTTATGAACTTTGAAAATGTAATGCAAGAGCTCTTAACTTTCAAGTTATGAATGATTTCATAGTCAATCAACAAGCCGTTAAAATCCCACTAAGTGGGGTCGGAATGGATCACATGTCCTAGTGCTCGATCAAAGCACATATCTTCATTCAAATTTAAATATTTTAAAATTATTTTTTATTGTCTCATGCCAAGTTTTTAAGGTTTATCCCTCTCCCTTTTAATTTGCGTTCTTGAGGTGCCTCGAAGTCTCTCCTACGCACATGCCTCGAAGTCTTAAAATCATATTTGTGAATATTTATAAATCCTGAAAAACACCTCCGGGAGGTTTAAGTGTAAAAAGAGACAACTTTTGGGACGTGCCCGAACAAGAACGGACGTATTTGGAAGCCAAAACACACCTTATGGCCACTAGGGGTCGCAATCCTCTGGCCATGGCCATCTTCGCCACTGTGCGCCGCGGGCTCGTACGAGTTCATTTGGACTCGGAATCGAATTCTGTTTTTTCCTACACGTCTCCAGCGAATCCTTCTAGAATTCTAGCATGCAAATTGCATGTTCATGTCTCATTTGGCTTATCCTATCATTCGTCAAAGACAGAATATTCCACGAATCCAATAATATCTGAGTTACTTAAACTAAATTGCTTCAACCTTACGTTTCACACATATACATCTTAGAATTAATTTGTCATTCACCTTAAAATAGTTTTGAGAATTTTCTAAGTCTTCCACTTACGACAAAATGGAACTGTAAACTTTAACCATTTTTAGCTATTTCTGCCGCCACTTTGCTTTTTGCATTTATTGTTCGATATTGATGTTTGGTTTATCAGCTTGGGACCATGTTGGAAGCTAGGTAAGACGTGTGACTGTGTGAGGGAATGGCTAGCTTTGTTAGCATCGGAAAATTTGATCTTGTGCCTTTTTATCCCTTCAAATTCGTGCATGGAGGTGAACTGCCCATCTGTCGAGTTGAGGCTCGTAAACTCTCCGAGTGGCATTGCGCAACTTTTCAACTTTAGGGGGACCATTGGGAAAGATGGGTTTATTGCTAAAGATGCCCCTTTTTTTTGTTTGTTTTCGATTATTAACTTTTTCAAGGCTGCGTAAAATTATTCGTGTAAATGCTTGCTGTGTGTGTTACTAAGTGATGAAAGTGTACAATTCAGGTTAGAGTTAAAAAGTTGAAATATCTGGGGTGGTATATGGAAAAAATTCTGCATGGTTTTTCTCTGCTTGAAAATTCTGCAATTGCATAAAGCCTTCCCCCAAGAAGAATGTTTATCTATTGTTGGATTATCAATGTCGATGATGATTACAGATTTTAGAAACCATAATGATTTATTTATTTATTTATTTTTTTAACATTTTCAAGATCCTATATTCTACTTAATATAGTATATATTCTTAAATGCTTTATTGAGTCCTTTTATAATTGAAAAGAACAAAAGAATGTAAAATGAATTCCAAGTTCATCTATAAGTTTATTTTATTTTTTATTTTTTTTGTTGTGTAGTTT